TTCTCTTTCCCAAACTCACCCACCTCACCTCTGAGCCTTTGCTCGTCCCGTCAGGGGCCAGGGTGCCTTTCCACCCACTTCACCTGAGTCCCAGGGTCCTTCCTGGCATCCGGCCCTGAGACCCCTGCCCATGCCGGGACCCCCACCGGCTGGGAGTGACCTCCTGTTCCGAAGGTCCCCCGGGTCCTACAGAGTGTCCCAGCCACTGTGCACAGTCTCCCTAGAAGTCCATGGAACACTTAACACTAAGCCTTTCCCAGAGTGGGCCGGGCTGCATGGAAGAATTAGAGGCTACCAGACAGGGGGAGAAAGGAGGAGTCCTTGCAAGAGGGGCCGGCCTGTGCACAGCCCTGGGGCACCTAGCAGCTTCCTGTGTAGTCAGAGTATGTGGACGGGCTTTAAAAGGTATGCTAAGGAAATTCAATCCTATCGGCCAGTGAGACTCTCCAATAAGAAATGTGAGTCCCATTCCCGAAGATTGTGATGCCTGGCCCAGGAATCGATGACTTTACATATTCCCAGGAAATTCTGATTGAGGGTCTCCGGACCACAACTGGAGCATGAGGAGGCTTTGAAGAATCCTAGCCTGGGAAGAGTATGATCAGATTCAGGTGTCAGAAGGAGCCCTTGGGCAGCTGGTGTGACCACGTGGAGGAGCAGGTGAGGGCCAGGCAGCCGGGGAGACCAAAAGGGGAAAGTGGAGCAGGTGCCTGGGGGCAAGGCCCAAACGCAGGCTCCCCGGTGAGGCCAGAGAGAACGGACGGATGCTGAGACGATTTCAGGACACAATCAGCCCGTCCCCGCGACCTTGTGCGTGATGAGCAAAGCGGGAGAAGAAAAGGCTCGGGAATGGGTGCAGCTTTAAGCCTCTCGGTCGGGCAGGGGGTGTCCGTCCTGGTGACAGTAGGCAGAACGTCTGCCAGTGTCCCCCATGGTGCTGGGTCGAGGTGGCCCCTCCTGCTGGCCTGCAACTCCCTCCTCACCTGTCTGTGGGCCCCAGGCCCCAACCCCTCCACCACCACAGCCCAACCTCGTGCCGGCCCTGGCATCAAGACCCACCGGGGGGACGCTGGCTGGGTGACAGGATGAGGTTGAGAAGCTTCTGGTCAGGAGGCCAAGGTGCGGCGAGAAGACGACCGCAGGAAGGTGAAGGGAGAGCCGGAGGAGGCCCAGCCTCCCTCACCTGTCTCCACACAGGTTCACGGGAGCCACCGTCGCCGTGTGCGAAGGGGCCTACTTTGTGGCTCAGCTGCTGGCCATCTGCTTCCAGTGAGTAGCTCGCACTGCCCAGGGATCCTTGCAACTTCTGGGGGCAGGTGAGGGAGGAGCCCTAGGCTTGCAGGGCATTTTACCAGTTCTGGAGGGCTCCACCCCAACTAGGACCTGGGCACAAAAGAATGACCACCAGGGGGAACCAAAGAGCCATGGCAGTGGGTGTGGAAGAGGCCATGTCTGGGCCAGCACACCATCCGCCAGTCCCACTGCTCCCCAGAGCCAGCCCGGCAGGAAGAGATGTGAGATCCCTGCTCCAAGTCAGTCTAGAGGGCGAAGGAGCTGGGCCTAAGGGCAGGTGCTTTTCTCCTTTGAACCTGGAGGCAGCAGCCCTGAAGGAATCAGGCGGGTGTGGACTCTGCATGCCCGTCAGGAAGCCCCTCTGGGCCCGTGTCATCTACGCCCAGGCAAGACCCTAAGCAGCCAGGCCCCTCGTGCAGGGCATGCTCCGCACAACCGCCCCGCCCGTGTCCCCCACACTGCACGCCTTCTCCGCTTTGCTGTGGGCCCCCAGAGGATCCCTGAGGGGGAAGGGGCACAGCGAGACCCCTCACTGAGGACTCCCACCGGGGTGTCTGCAGAGAGCATGGCCTCAGCAGAGCCTCCACAGCCTCGAGAGGTGCTGGGCTTTCCCGAGTCACTGCCTGCTCCCTGCTCACCCCCGACTCCTTCCTCCCAGGTGTCAGCCAGGGTCCCTGGCCGCCAGAGCGAGGGAGAAGGCCCGCTGGCTGGGCTGCTTCCAGAAGTTCCTGGCCTACCTGCTGCTGTCCGTGGCCTGCTTCCTCCACCCCGTCCTGGTCTGGCACGTGACCATCCCAGGTAGGACTCCAGGGGGAGTGGAGGCAGGCCGCCCACATGGGGAGGCTCTGAGCACGAGGGCTGGGTCCTCCTCACTCAGCCTGCGGTGACGTGGCCCCAGGGCCGCGAGCCCACTGCCCTCTCTGGCCCAGGCCGTGGGGATGAGGACCTGTCAGACCCTCCACGCTGATTCAGCGGCAGGAATGTGCCGGAAGTGCATCCTTCGTGTAGGCGTCCAGAGGCTGCACCCCAACGGGCGTGGCCTTTCTGTCGAAGCCTGTGTGTGGACTGAGCTTTCGGAGGGTGACAGTCATTTCTCTGCCCATCGTGTCTCCCAGTGCCCTGACTCAGGCCACACCCTCAGCCTGAGGTGGGAGCACAGCAGGAAGGGACCGAAGACCCTCACAGCCGCAGCATGTCCTGCTCCTCAGGCCCTGGGTCAGCGGCTCCTGGCTGCAAAGGCAGGAGTCTGCCACCTCCCACCTCCCACCTCCCACCTCCCGGGTTCTGTTCATGGCTTTTCTGCTAACACTCTCCTCGTGACCCACCTAAAATCCAGAAAGCAAACCTCCCAGGGAGACAAGACTGAAGGCAGAGCCCCATTTCCTTCCTGCAGTCCCTGTCATAGCCCCCAGGGCCCCCCTCAACCCCCACCCCCACGGCCTCCATGGACGCCTGAGCAGGACACAGCCCTATAGAGCTAGAGCAAGCCATGGCCTCCAGCCCCTGAGAAAGCAAGAGAGGCCCAGGAGGCTCTGGCCCCAGAGGCAGGACTGGGTCCCCGCTTCCTCTCACAGGGCAGGGGTCCCAGCAGGGAACCCAGAGCAGTAGGTCCCAGCCTGGGACGGAAGGTCCTCTGCCTGGAGGCCTTGGGCGGGGCCAGGAAGGGGCGATGCTACGCTGGCCCTACCCAAGGAGTCTGCACTTGCTTCTGTTTGCTGGGGAGGCTACAGTGAAGGCGGGCTCCCGCTTCTGGGACGGGAAGTCCAGTTCAGCAGGTGGGGCCTGGTATCCAACATAGAACCCGGACCTACTGGCGGGGTCCAGGTCCAGTTCCAATAAGCCGTAGTGAGAGAGGCTGAGTGCGGCGATGGAGGCTGTTCCGGTAGCACCAGGGGGGCTGTAACCAGGAAGGGAGCCTCGGGCACAGGGTCCCCTAGCTCACGGGCAGGGGCAGGGCCCCAGCGCGGCATCAGGCCGCCCCCAGGCCTGCTGTGGTGTGAGGGGAAGTGAGGTGTGAGGGCTGCAGCACAGCAGCCTGAGTGGCCACACCGGTGTGCGCCGTGGCCTTCGGGAACCGTGGGCTTGGGCAGCCTCGGGCTTCTCCCCAGGACACTTCCAGCACCCTGACCGCCCAGCTCTCTTCCAGGCTCCATGCTGGTCCTCACTGGCCTGGCCTACTTCCTGCTCAGCAAGCGAAAGAAGAGCAGGGCCGCTCCTGCGGAGCTGGCCGCCCAGGAGCAGTACACGGACCCCTCCAGCAGCGCCAGGAGCACCACCGGCTCCGGGGACACCGAGCAAACCTACACCTTCCACGGAGCCCTCGGGCCGGGGCCCGGCTCCCTCCTCGCCCACATGAGGTGCATCCTGAAGGGGCCCAGGAAGCCCAGCGCGCCCCAGCGCCCGGAGGCCCCCACCGAGCTGACTCTGGAGCCAGCTGCCTCGCTGGCCGCGAAGAAGCAGGTGCGCTTTGAAGACAGTGCGGCCAGGATCATCCCCGCCCTCGCCGCCGGCCTGGACAGCGAGGACAGCGAGCCGGAGCCGGAGGAAGCCAGCTCGGACACCACCCCCATCATCCCGCCCCCGCAGGCTCCATCCTTCCTGTCTTCTCTCTCAGGCAGCAGCCTCTTCTGAGCTGCAGGCTCCAGCCTGGGAGACGCTCGGCAAGGGGTCTACGCGGACTGATGGCCCTGCCTGGAGCTCCCTCACAGCGTGGCCCTTGGGGAGCCCGGTCTTCGTAGGCCGGCTCTTCAAAGGGTGACCACACATCCTTCGCTGGGGCCATCGAGTGACATGAGAGGTCCCTCAACAGCCTTAAGGGGGTGCAAACGAAGCCATGTTGGCTCGAGCTGGCATAGGTCCTTCCTCCTGGACACGGAGTGAGGAAATCCTTGTGCTTTTCCCAAAGCGACCATCACTCCCTGCCTCGGCCCCAGGAGAAGCCGCCGGGCTCCTGCTGCTCCGGACACAGCGCCCAGCACTCAGCAAGCCCTCGGGCTCATCACCCAGCTCTGAAGGCCAAGGATGTGCCGGCAACTTAGCCATGTCCACAGGCAGGTGTTGAAGGCACCATGGGCCCCAGCCCTGAACTGAGATTGGGGGATGGGGAGGGAAGGCCAGGCCGCAGGCCCTCGAGGCAGAGAGCTGTGCCCAGCAGGGGCCTGTGTCCTCTGCTCTGGGCTGGCGCTGGGCGCAGGTGTCACAGAGCCTCTCCGGTAAACAGCCGGCCAGGTGGCGGTGCTCACTCCAAGCGCACCGCTGAGGGCTCTCTGCATGGCCACCACACCAACCTTGCCAAGGCCCCAAGTAGACGGTGTGAACAAAAAGATCCCGGAAGCCATCGACAGCTTCAGCAGTGAAAGCCTCAGCAGGAGGCTGCGCCCGCTGCACACAAGGGCCAGAGGCTGTGCCCTGAGACACGCACAGCACAGAGAAGTGGCTCCGCCATGCGGAGGTGCCTGGCAGCAGAATAGGGGATATAGACAGGTTTAAAGGGGGATGGAAGGGGGTGGCAGGAAAGTGAACAGGCAGACCAGCTCTCTGCAAGCAAGCCATGGAAGTGACAGTTAACCCAGATGGAGCAAAGACATTAACCAGATAATCCTTAGTTAAGGATTTGCAATACAGCTTTCATTTCTAAAAAGTGTCCTTGGGTCCATGGGATTGTTGCAAGGAGAGCAAACACACTCTTCTTCATGGACCATCTCAATTAACGAGCAACCCAGAGAGACTGGTAATGGCTCCCGAGTTCATCTGTGTGAGCAGCCACGCTCCGCAGAGCCTGCCTCGGACCACGTGCTCTACGGTCCAGAGAAGAGATGTGCTTTTTCTTGTATGATTTTCAAACCCCCGCCCCGCTCCTTACAGGTTAGTTTGCAAATGTATTGAAATAGCCAAAGCTAGGATCAGCTTGGCAGCAAGTGTCCCAAATAAGCAGATCTCTTCCTGCAATAACTCACCTCTTGTGTAAAACCAAGTGGAAAAAAAGACAAACATTTCCACAAGCCCTCTGTGGTGGAAATAGTGGAGCTCTTCCTTTAACTGCGAGAGGAGGGACTTCAGGATTTGAGTCAGTCAGAGGAGAGTGAATGACATGGAATGTGGGTATAGGGAGGGGAACTGTGCCCAGTTCCCAATGGGGAGGTGGCCTAGACGGGAGCCCAAGTGGGGAGGAGCCGGCCCTGTGCCTGTCCGGTGAGAGGGGTGGTGATGAGCCCAGCACAATGCAGGCGGCCTCTGCGGACCCGGTGCTCCCACTCCATTCCCGAAGTCCGGGCAGCAGAGCTGGGTAGGTGGCCAGGTCACGTGCAAGAAGCACACCCGGAGGGGAATGTGAATAAACATTTCTTACACCCACGAGCCTTGTTTCGGCTGTGTCTTAGCGGTGGGGGCACGGGAGCTCCCGGTGATGTGATGGGCGTGGGACTGAGCCGTCGGGGCTTCCCGGTGCCTCCCAGTTAAGGGGGCGTCTGCTCTGAAGGCCCAGGATGTGCGGGCACTTACCCATGTCCACAGAGGCCTGAATGATTCTGATCTTACCGAGATTAGCAAAGTGAAGTTTTCAAACTATCTTGTTGCTGGAAAAGCACAGAAGGCTGCGATGAGATTGTTAAATAGACCAGAGTCCTTACCTCTGTCACTGGACCAAGCGGGAAATGGCCCTCCTCATGAGCAGGTGGACACAGGTGTCTCCATTTGAGTCTCAGGCTGAGACAGCCATATCCCACCCACTGCGGCCCTCACAGCGGCTGTGGCCCTCATCCCTGCTGAGAGCGAACAGGGCTGACCCGAGAGTGGCCTGGCTCCCTTTCTCCGCAGAAGGCAGACCACACATCTTGTAGATGTGCAGCAGTGACTGGAATAGAAAGGTCACTGGCTGGGACTCGCTAAATCCTCCACTAACATGCCGACTGGCCTTGGCCAACACTTTTCACCTCTCGGGCCTCGGTTTTCCCCGTTAAGTGGAATTAACAGAATTCCTCTCAGGATTAGTGCGATCACTGAAGCAAGAAAGATGGGGAAGTGCTCTTCAGATTACCAGTCACCCCACTCCGTGATGAGTACACTTCTCTGCTACCGGGGGGCCTCACAGTGAGAAAACCCAGAGGAAGAACTGAGGAGACACCGCCCAGATTTCCTCCGGGGAAAGGCCAGTGCAGACCCAAAGCTTCTGTCTCAACTCCAGCTTCAGTGCTTGAGCCTTCAGGGGGCACCCTCCAGGTCAGAGAGACCCAGTCACAAGGAGCCATAACCTGGAGGTCCCCCTGTATTACCACTCTCTCCCATCAGTCCTAGGGATTTCTTTTAGTTGTTAAAATATTTTTATTGAAATATAATTCACATCCCATAAAAGTCCCCAATTCAAATGGTTTTTGGCATATTCATTATCAAGTTCATCACAATCTAAGTTCACAACATTTTCATTACCCCCCCTTCCCCCCAAAAAATACATTTAGTCAGTCTCCACCCCACCCCAACCCAGCCATACCCTAAGCAATCACTAACCAACTTTATGTCTTTATAGATTTCTCCCCTGGACATTTCATATAAATGGAATCATATAATGTTTTTTTATTGTTTGTTTGGATTTTTTTTAGTTGTTTTTTTGTTGTTGTTGTTGTTGTTAATCCTTACCCGAGGATATTTTTCCATTGATCTTTTAGACAGAGTGGAAGAGAGAGGGAAAAAGAGAAAAACATCGGTGTGAGAGAAACACATCGATTGGTTGCCTCCTGCACGTGCCCTGATCAAGGCCTGGGTGGGGGAGGATCCTGCAACCAAGGTACCTGCCCTTGACTGGAATGGAACCTGGGACCCTTAGGTCCGCAGGCCAACGCTCTATCCACTGAACCAAACCGGCTAGGACTTAGCATAACGTTTTTTAAGATTCATTCATGTTTTAACATGTATCTTTATCTCATTTTTCTGTGGCTGAATAATATTCCATTACATGGATATACTACATGTGTTTATCTATTCATCTGTTGATAGGCATTTGGGTTGTTTCTACTTTGTGCCTATAATGAATAATGCAGCTATGAACACTCATGTTACGTGGAGATATATTTTCATTTCCCTTAGATATATACGTTGGGGTGGAACTGCAGGGTTAAATGGTAACTCAATATTTAACTTCTGGTTAAACTGTTTTCCAAAGGGGCTGCACCATTTTACATTCTCGCCAACACTGTATGAGTGTTCTGACTTTCCATATCCTTGCCAACACTTGTTATTGTCTGTCTTTTTATTATAATCATCCATTTATTGTGGTTTTGATATGTATTTCTGTGGTGACTAATGGCATTGGACATTTTTATTTTTTCATGTAATTATTGACCATTTGTTTGTATATCTTCTTTAGAAATGCTTTGCCTATTTTTCAATAAGAATTTTTTGTCTTTTTTTTAACTTATAAGAATTTTTTTATATATATATTCTGGATATCAGACCCTACCAGATATATAATATGCAAATATTTTCACCCATTCTGTAGGTTGCCTTTTATTTTTTTTATAGTGTCCTTTGAAGCACAAAGGATTTAATTTTAGTAAAATCTAATTTATCTATTTTTTTTCTTTTGTTGCTTTTTCTTTTGTGGTTAAATCTAAGAAACCATTGCCTAACCAAAGGTTTTTAAGATTTATTTCTATGTTTCCTTCTAAGAGTTTTAGAGTAAATGTTAGTTCTCACAATGAGAGTCTAACTTAATTCTCTTACACGGCATCCTATTGTTCCAGCACCATTCGTTGAATTGTCTCGGCACCTTTGTCGAAAACTTATAGGTCATAAATTTCCCTTTTCAACCTGTTCCATTCATCTGTATGTCTGTCCTTATCACATTACCATACTGTTTTGATTACTATAGCTTTGTAATGAATACATTTTGAAGCCAGGATGTGTGAGCCCCCAACTTTGTTCTTCTTTTTCAAGACTATTTGTCGATCCGAGGTCCCTCTCACTTCCATGTGAATTTTAGGATCAACTTGTCGATATCTGCAAAAAAGCAATCTTGGATTTCAATAGAAATTTAATTGACTCTCTAGATCAGCCGTGGGCAAACTATGGCCCGTGGGCCAGATCCGGCCTGTTTGAAATGAATAAAACTAAAAAAAAAAAAAGACCGTACCCTTTTATGTAATGATGTTTACTTTGAATTTATATTAGTTCACACAAACACTCCATCCATGCTTTTGTTCCGGCCCTTCGGTCCAGTTTAAGAACCCATTGTGGCCCTGGAGTCAAAAAGTTTGCCCACCCCTGCTCTAGATCAAGCATGTCAAACTCGCGGCCCATGGGCTGCATGCAGCCCACAATGAATATTTTTGTGGCCCAGCCAATATAATGGTATGTAAGAAAACATTAATTTTATCATTGCTCTTGTTCTATTTTATACTACACTTTTTGAGATAAACCTACATTTCTATGAAAATTGAAACTTGTGGTTTTTTGCGGCCACATAAACGTAAACCTTGTTTATTTGGCCCGTGTTAGCCTTTGCATTTGACATGCTTGTTCTAGATCACATTGTGGGTATTCCCATCTTGACAATGTTAAATCCAATCCATGACTATGGGGTGCCCTTCCTTTTATATAGAGCTTTAATTTCTTTCAATAATGTTTTATAGTTTCCTATG